CGCCGGCTCCTCATGGCTTCCTGGGATGTCCCTCTCTCCTGATACCATCTCATGTCCCCTCTCACTTTCCCTCATCTCATTTGCCTCACTGCTGCTGCTGCTGCTTTCCTCATTCTCTGAAATTATAATGGCACTGTTAGAATAAAGAATAATTTTAAAATAAAATAAATGAAAATGTCTTCATATTTCAAAAGATTTGTACCACAGTTTATTTGAGTACAACATGTGTGGTCACTGGTCAGTGGATCAACATGCTGTGGTTCTGCTGTACTTCTCACTGCGGGGTCCTTCCTCCTCCTTGGTTCAGGGCGATGAACAAACACAGCATCAGCCCTGAGTCTCACCTTGCCTTGCCTAAGCTTAGTAAACTGTCCCTCCTCAAAATGTGCCTGTAGAGTGGTGTATTACTGTAGTTTATTTCCTGCCACATTTAACAGTTTAATTGCAGCCTTGTGCAGTTGAGAGCAGAACATGTAGAGCCTTGATAGAAAACATTTGAGAGTGCACATTAAACTCACTGCACACAGCTTTTTGTTATTGTGATCTCTTGTCATGGTGAGGTTGCTCCTGCTGACTTGAGCCAACCATTTTCTTCTTCTTTGGGGAAGCCATAATTCTGATTCCTCCCTCAGACTGATTGCTATATGCAGGGCAGCCAACCATGTAAGATATTCAACCTAGAAAGGGATTATTAAAATACTATTTTTGTACATATAGAAATATTGAACTAAACCAAAAATATAGAGATGTAAAATTTCATTTTAAAATTTTATCCAACCCTAAAATTAGTCATTTCAAATTTTAACCCACAGACACATTTTATTTTAATAATAATCAAAATAAAGTTATTCAAAAGAGTTTCATTAGGTCTTGAGTACATTGCTCATAATTAATGATTTAGCTTATTTGTGCATGTGTAATGACTAAACATAATGTTGGTAAAATGCTTTATTAAAAATGCTATTATACATGTTGTACAAGTTTGGTGTTCATTTTTTCACAGTTAGCACTTTTTTATCTACTGTGATGAACCATACAGTTTTATTGAAAATTTATTTTTAATTAGTTGCTATAGAAACCAGATCAACTGGGTTATAGATGTATGTACTGTCTTCACATAAAATATAAAGTAATGATTGTAAAATGTATTCCACTGAACATAATAGATCATCATTCAAAGCATAAACAGCTATATATTTTCTTCAAGGTAAGCTGGAGCAGAATTCTAGCTTTCAATAAACACTTTAAAATGGATATTACAACTCGAGTTTAGGGCTTCTTATAGGACTTAGTTATTAAATATGCTTATATTAGAGCAGTGTGTTGCATTACTACATCAAATTTATTGCTATTGTATATTATAGTAATGTATGTGGTCTAAATGTGTTCTACAGTGTGTTAGAACTGTCGTTTTCCTGTAATGTAGAACAGTCACAGGTGTTTGTCTTCCTACAAATGCTCGGAAAAATATAAACTGGCTACTTTGTGAAGGAGTTAGGACATAATATATATATAATATTATTCAATAATTACCACAAATCGCCAGGGGAAATGTGATTATATTAAATTTGTGATTTGTCCCACCATACGTCATTCAAACTGACTTACGGCGCTGTGGGATGTTTGGAACTGAGAGCGAGTTGGCGAGTTCAAAGAGTGTCGTAACTCTCTCTTTCTACAGCTCTGACAGAACCCTGCCCTCCTCTCCCAATGATTGGACAGGAATTCGAGAAACGTGATTGGTAGCTAAGACTCATGCTCTCATTGGTTCCACCCAAGTTCCTCCCACTGACGCTAGAATCGAGACAAAAAGATCTGTAACACTGTAGATTTGAGGTTTGTACCTGTAGAATGAAATGTGTGTTTTGAGAGCTTTGATTTCAAACTTGTACCTTGATTTTTTCAATTTGGAAGTCTGCTAGTTACAAAACGAAAGTTTCATGTTTCTGAATGAATGTTTGATGTTACAAAATGAGTATTAAATGTACAAAAGAAAAGTTTGATTTTACAAAATAAAAAATACATGTACAAAATACAATGTTCCTGTTACAAAACAAGAAATACAAGTACGAATTGAGAATTACAAGTTAGAAAACTAAAGTTACAAGTTACGAATCCAAAGTTACATGTGATGAAACATGTTCAAAGTTACAAAACTTGGTACAAGTTACGCTGAATATTGTCCCAATCCTAGCTCCATACCCGCTAATGGGAAACTCAAATCAACATGTAGGTACGGTTCTGACACCATTTTGAAAATAAAAGTGGGGTGCCCTTGCTTTGTTATTAAACTGATCATCATATTGCCCAGAAGTGCTTAATCATCACCTTTTCAAATCAAGCTGAATGCAATCAAATAAAGCTGCGTCCTCATCTGATACACTCTTTAGTCAAGTGATTAGTCACACATTGTGCTAATTTAGTAGCCAACATCCATTAAAAGTTTTCTAATGTTCATCTACAAACAGCTTACTTTTCACAGCAGCACAAACACTTAAGAGAATAATTAGAAGAAAAATTATAACAAAAGTACATGTATACACACATAGGCAGTAAGTTAGTATTGGAACCTTCGACCAAAAAAAAACACACAAATTAAAAATTAAAAATTTGGGTTCCAACACTATGTAGCATAGTGTAAGAAACAGACATACTATGTAAATCCAGTATTGCACAAGTATTGAACACGTACTGAGTATTGCATTGATGTTATTGTGTACCAGGATAATGCCAGTACAGCTAGCATAGTGGCCTATAAATTAGGTTCATGGGGGCAAGTGTTTCCTCACTCTAGCAAACCAAATTCAGTGATTGAAATAACTTCTAAATAGGTCATGAATTCTGTTGTAAATATAGTCAACAATTCATATTTTTGTTTCTTTAGGCATATTTGTAATTTGAGCTTTGTGTGTGTGCGCGTGCGTGCCTGTGTGTTATGTGTCACATTTGGATTAACTGTATGTAAAGTTCTCATAATACATATTTTAGGCTTTCGTGTTCTCTGTTGGTCTGAGATAAACAGCCCTTTACTAGAGTCTTTGTCAGGTTAGCAGCCTGCAGTTCTAAGGGCTCCACGGTCACTTATCTTTCCTCCACAGAGTTGGCCCTTATCATTAAGTTGACAGATGTCACATTATGCTTGTTTAAAGATTTTGAGACTTTTCAAATTGCTCAAAATACTGCATAGTAAAAGAATAGGTAAATCATCTGTTAGGTTTTAATCTTTCTGTTACATGATGATTGAAGTGGACATGATAGAAATATTGGAGGACAGCATCATGTGTTACAGTTAGACTTGACTGCAGGGAGACATTGTTGACTGGAGACTGTGGACAGAGCAACAACTATTTCAGGTTTCTTAGTTCTGTATTTATGAGCATTAAAGGAAGTCATACCTGTCCACTGTGAGTTCTTTACATAAAAAAATTCTGAAATCATTATTTTCAGTTTTTTCATTTCGTTTTTATGTTGTTTTTTTTAAACTAATTTCTAATGTGATATTTGTTGATCAACAATAATAATGTAAATGTAGTTGTAACAGCATTCTTATATCAAGTCACAACACTGTTACAATACGAGAATTCTACATTCTGGCATTCATGTGGATGTAATATTGACAGTTCCCACCCACATAAACATTTTTAGACTAATCACTCCTCTCTCATAGCAGCAGCAACACGTCCACAGTAGCAGCCCATTCTCAGCTGGACTGTTGTGGGCATGCAAAGACTGCTTAGTAAGGTAGAAATAAAAATGGCCAGGAGTTTGAAGCTATTCATCCAGCCTCCTATCCTGTCAAACCATCCTATATATGTGAATATATAGTCTGGCCATGACCCATAGAATCAGTCGTGGGGCGAAATTTATGGTTGTCTTTCAAACTGTCTCTGCATGCTATTGGACAACAAACAACATGACATATTCACCACTATAGATGTCAGTCAACAAGGTAGTAGGGGCTGAATGACTTAATTTATTTTAAAGTCGACAGTCAAGTAATTAAAATCTAGTTGACTTTGACTAGTCGTTGATGACATCATACACATGAAGCGGCTAAAACTGACGAAGGGTGACCAAGCCTTTTTTATTTTGCGACGCACGCGATAAAACAGAGATTTTACCGAATTGTGGCCTTTACCCTCTTGCTGTATAACCTTCCCCTCACCCCCACCCAGTGCTTAATTTGTAAATCAAACATTCCCAGAACGCAAATACTGACGTCAACCTAAAGTTCACTAAAGGCAAAACAGATGCCGGGACACGCACGGGGAGGGTGGGGGGGCGGGTGTTTGCTGGAGCTTTTGACAATTAAAATTGTGACCAAATATTCAGTTAAACATATTTCTTTTAACAATGGTAGTTTCTGCATCTTTACTGTTCCCCTGCTTCAGCCCTCTCATCTCTCGTCTTTTCCGAGGACTCAATCTTGTTGGTCATTATCAGGTGACAGCGACTAGTCTATGAAAGGCATAAAAAGTCACTACAGAGCAGTGAAGTCGACTAGTCGACTAGTTGATACAACCCCTACAAGGCTGTACGCCATACACTGCTGAACGCCATACACTGTTGAAGGAGATGCAAATACATCTTTGTTTCTAAATAAAGGACTTATGTACCTCTGTCTGCGTTTATCACAAAAAAAAGCCCAAGTCTAAATAGAACAAAGTTGATGCCAAAGCCGTTTCAAACAAGCCATCGCCATCTTTGTTTATTCGCTTAGTCCCACCCACCAAACCAATAGAACGCTGTGATTGGCCCATTAAACCAATAGAGTGTTATGATTGGCAAGATACAGGCCTGTTGAGATTCCATAACAAGACCAACCTGCAAAGCAAAAGCATTGTGCTTCTGTTATGGTCTGTCTAAATTTCTAGGCTACTAGCCTCCCACTTCTTCACACAAGCTCTATATATTTCTGCTGCTGGCACCTTTAATGTATAAAACTCGTTGAGAATCTCTAATATTCATTATCCACATTTTTATTTGTTGGAGCTGATCAGATGGCAAAGAAGGAACCATTGCAATTGCATGAGAGTATCCATCATACCATATTATGTTGTACACATATCTGTCTTTGGTGTCCGATAAAGTTTCTGTCCCATTTTATTTCTATGCATGTCATCTTTTCTGAGCTGAAATTTGAAATCTGAAATTGGTATATTAACTTTTTGAAGTTATTAAAAATGCTTTCTTTATTGCTTCCCTCCTTGTGTTTGGCCCTCAGGTGGAGCGGATCGTGGACAAGAGGCGGAACAAGAAGGGTAAGTGGGAGTATCTAATTAGATGGAAAGGTTATGGAAGTAAGGAGGACACCTGGGAACCAGAAACTCACCTGTTGCATTGCGAAGAATTCATTGACCAGTTTAACAGCTTGAGGCAGCATTCACACAAGCGATCTAAGGTCCAGAAACATCGTGGGGAGCCACTTATCAACAGCCAACCCTCAACAACAGAAAATTCCAGAGCTCGGTCTGAGGCACGAAAGAAGAAAAGGACTTGTGGCCCACCTGTAGGGGTGAGAGTAGGATCTGTTCTGGGGATTGGAGGGTTAGTGTCCAACCCGAAACAGAAGAAAGTGGGTGTTGGAGCAGGAAAGCACACTTTAGGAGAAAGAATGGGCAAAGCCATGACATACAAGCCTCATCTATCAAGTGGATCTCACTTTGTTCCCCCGTTGAGGGTTCCTCATAATGGACTTCATAATGGAGAGATGGAGCCTCTCATGTACAGTACTGCTGCAAGGTCACATAGACTGCCTTCAGATCGGGCGGAAGCCGAACTTGTACACACAGAAACAACTGGACCACAGTTAACAGATGACCTAGGTAAGTTATCCTACACATACAGGTCATTGTTTTACTGATTCTATGTTTTTTCAACAGCCTACTTCAAGTCACACTCAGACCAGTTTGTATCAAGTCTTTAAATTCCAGAACATAATTTGTTTTGAATAATTTTTCCCCAGTTGGGTTTTTCATTTTTCAGGTTGCACATTTCTGCCATCTTAAATGACTAGATGTAATTTTAAATATTCCTTGAATGATTCAAAACCATGATTCACCCTCCACCGCCCTTTACAGTTGGAATCAGGTTAATGTAGGCTCAAGGTACCATGTTCCTCTAAAAGTATCGTACATTTTCACCAAATTTTCTTTACACACAATCATTTCTGAAGTATGGTGAAATATCCTCACCACATTACAATACTCTTGACAGCAAACTCTTTTGTGAGAATCACTAATATGGTTAGTATCAAGGTTTTATGATTTTTTATTTTTATTTATTCACATTCTAACAAAGACTTTAGTTATTGAAGTTAAGGGTAAAGTTAAGAACACAGAGGTTTACTCTTTTGTTAGTCAGTACCTCAAAGAAGCTAAATATCTAGTTATTTACAAGTAATCAAGGCAAAAATTGATCATTTGAAAAGGACTGACAGTTTTCTCTTTCAGTTGTAACGGTTCTAATTTGACATTTACCAATACATGGGTAATTAAGTGCGTTTAAATGCATGTTATTTGCACATGTTTTTACATGTATTTTAGAAACCTATGCTGCCCCTTATGCTTACTGATACCAACTTTGAATTTCATTCTTTACGCACAGTCCACAGTTTGAACCATTACAGTTAATCATTACCTATGTTTTGAACAAGTCATCTTGATATGCTCAAATAAATAAGTATATTTTACTAACCATACAATTGATTAGCATTGGTGGTGGCGGAGTTGGTTTGTTCTTTCTGTCTAGAACACCATGTCTTAGAACATTTGACCTCTTTATTTTAAGGAAAGTACAGTGGGGGGGAAACATCTAAAAGAAAGAAAAGGTAATCAAAAAGTATCAAGAAGTAGTGCTACTGAACAACCTTAGTTTATTTTACCGTGCCGTGTCAGAGCTGAAATAATAATTTTATTTGGTGTTTTGTTGATGCTGTCCTGTCAGACAAAACAGTTTTGTTAGGTTGTGATTTGGAAACAACCCAGACTCATAAAACACAGTTATCTTTGGTGCCCTATCAAAGAGGACTTTGAGGGCTGTGAAGGCACCACACCCATTAGGACAAAAATGAAAGCTATAACTTTCCACCACCTTTGTACACATTTTCCAGAACACTGGATGCTCATATGGGTTTTTATATTAATTTTTGTTAAATTTCTGGAGTTTCCATTTTTATTCTTCAACCTGAGAAACCTCACAAGAGATAGGCTACATAGTTAGATTTATAAATGCATGGGTTGTATAAACCCAGTCAGCTGTTAATGCATTTCTAAAATGTATTGAATTAAAAAAGACACCCATTTTGATACTTTGTTTAATAGGAAAATGATTTTAATGGTACATTGGGGTTGTGCCTTGGTCTGCCTGAGTGTTCGTGGCAACCGGGTCTGGGGGTTTAAGATTTTGGCATCTGCCTGATAGATCCCGGTGGCTGCCTGGTGGGGTCTGGGTCCCTGGGCTCTGCTGGGTCCCGGGCTCGGCCGGCTAGGGGGTGGGAGGCTGCGAGCGGGCCTGTGGGCTTGCCGCTGATGTCTCCCGGGACTCTGCCGGCTGCTGGTTGTGGCCCCCCGGGGCGATCCTCTGTGCCTCTCAAGGGGGGCAGGGGCCTTTCTGGTTGCAGTCTCCTTGGGGTTCCTGTGTTCTGGGGCAGCGCCTGGATCTCTGGGACTTGGAGCTCCCCCCGTCTCCTGCGCATCTTTGGGGGCGGATATGTGGTCCCTCACACTCTCTGTTGGACGCTCCTATAGAGAAACCTTACATAAACAAGTGCGTGTACACACACAGGTGCTCACATGGCGCTCTCAAAAGTATGGGCTTGGGCACGTTAAACACAGGTCTTAAGACTATTGTGGGCACTTAATGCACTGTGATTTATTGATTCTTCAGTTGAGCAATGTTGATTTTATATTTTTTCATCAAGTTGACGCAGTGATAACTAGATCTTGTTGTATTGTTGTTGTGTCCCTTTTTTTTGTCCTTTTGCTTTTTTTTGTTTTGTTTTTATTTGCAGGTCTAGAAGCAGACTCTTGTTCATTGTTTACTTTTGTGGACCCCCCCCCCCCCCCCCCTCTCTTTCTCTCTCTCTCTCCCCACCTTTTCTTTTCCTTTCTCTTTCACCTCTGTCTCCGTGTCTGGTCGGAATTACAAAGCATTCAAAAACAATAACAATAAAGTTTTAAGTATCAGGCGTGACATTAAAAGCAGATGCTTTGATGCTCCACCTGAGAGTAAATCTGTAAGGCTTGTTACCACCATTCAGACATCAATTCTGCTTGCTTCACAGCCAGACAGGACACGGTTAAAAAAAAAGGAAATTAAAAAAGACACCCATTTTGATACTTTGTTTAATAGGAAAATGATTTTAATGGTACATTCAATAAGCCAATATTCTTACAATTCATCAAACAAGAAGGATGACTTCTATTAAAAGCATTGTATGTCACCTGCTGTTAGCATGTGCACACCAATGCTAACTTGAACACATTACAATCTGTGAGTTGTTCACTCATGTACAAATGTAACTTTACTGGTGAAGTACTGAGTCAGCCCCATGGCAATCACTCTGACAGCTATTACGAGTCCTAATCTCCTAATCCTCAGAAGACTGCTCCACTCAGCTCAATCAGCAATGTCAGTTCTGTTCAATAAGTCACTACAGTAAGAGAAGGGTGCCACACTGTAAATATTTGGTTGACAGCTGTTATTGATGGGATGTGTCAAATCTTATTAAACATCACATGGATGGATTGTACCTGGAGTTAGAACCTGCATTGTTATCTTTAGCACTACATACCTTATTATTTATTACAAGGACAGAGTATTTTTCAATTCATTCTGGTCTTGCAAAATTTTATACAAAAAAGGTATGTTCATGGGACAGGTTCATGAAAGTATTCTTATAGTTGTTTAAATAAGGCCAACCCAATTGGTTTTCTCCAGAATATTACAAAAGTTACACTACCTTTCCAAGTTTGTTAAATATAACTATAATTACCTTTAAAAACTCAATGTTTTTCCCAAAAGTATTTGTTTTTTCTTGTTTTTAATTTTCTTTACAATCCATAAAATGTTGTTAAGGAGGAATAAAGTCATGACCAGTAGTTGCCAAGGCCCAAGTTCAAGCCCAATGAAATCTAAATGTTTCTGGGATTCTTTCACTTTTCACTTGAACACTCATAAACAGTTTGGTTTAAGCAATAAAACATAGCAGTTTTATATTCTGGAGTGAGAAATGCGTTTGTTGGTCATGTGTGAAATATAAATTTAAATGGCCAAGTTTTAAACAGAAAATTTGACTGAATCACATTTGTAAGGCCTACAAATAATTATCAAAGGTAAAACCTGTAAAATTTTCTCGACCGGAAAAGGGTGGCTTGCCACCTCCGGGTCGGGGGAGAGGTCCTACCTCAAGTGGAGGAGTTTAAGTATCTCGGGGTCTTGTTCACGAGTGAGGGTAGGAGGGATCGGGAGATCGACAGGCGGATTGGTTCGGCGTCTGCAGTGATGCGGACGCTGAGCCGATCTGTCGTGGGGAAGAGGGAGCTGAGCCAGAAAGCCAGGCTCTCGATTTACCGGTCGATCTACGTCCCAATCCTCACCTATGGTCATGAGCTTTGGGTAATGACCGAAAGAACGAGATCGCGGATACAAGCGGCCGAAATGAGTTTCCTCCGTAGGGTGGCCGGGCTCAGCCTTAGAGACAGGGTGAGGAGCTCGGACATTCGGGAGGGACTCGGAGTAGAACCGCTGCTCCTCCGGATCGAAAGGAGCCAGTTGAGGTGGTTTGGGCATCTGGTCAGGATGCCTCCTGGACGCCTCCCCGGGGAGGTGTTTCGGGCATGTCCTGCCGGCAGAAGGCCCCCGGGTCGACCCAGGACACGTTGGAGAGGTTACATCTCCAATCTGGTCCGGGAACCCCTTGGGGTCCTGCCGGAGGAGCTGGTGGACAAGGCCGGGGAGAGGACGGCCTGGAGCTCCCTAGTTGGGATGCTGCCCCCGCGACCCGGACCCGGATAAGCGGAGGAAGACGACGACGACGACGAAAACTTGTAAAATTCTTAAAAAGAAAATTTAATTGAAATTGTTAATGTAGAAGTAATACTTTTTTCAGCTATATAATAATTTTATAATGAATACAGTCAAATTCTGCTAAATTCTAATAGCTTTTCTCAAATGGGTAAAGGTTCTCCTGAAAAATAATTACCCACTAAGTGCACTTCTCAAAAAAACAAAGGGAGCACGAAAATAAAACATCCTTGAGCTGAATGAATGAAATATTCGTATTAAATGTTTTGTTCTTTACACAGTTGAATGTGCTGACAACAAAATCACACAAAAATTATCAATGGAAGTCACCCATCGAGGTCTTGATTTGGAGTTGCAACCAAAATTAAAGTGAAAGAACACACTGCAGGCTCATCCAGCTTTGATTTAATGTCCTTAAAACAAGTCAAAGTGAGGCTTAGTAGTGTGTGCGGCCTCCACGGGAACGGGCAAGCCAGTCCATAGCCTCATTGCCTTCATCTTATAGGAACTGGTGACACACTCCAGCCACATGAACTCCAGTATTGTCTTGCATTAGGTGGAATCCAGGGCCAACCGCACCAGCATATGGTCTCAAAGGATTTGAGGATCTCATCTCGGTGACTAATGGTCAGGCTACCTCGGGCACGCACACATAAGGCTGTGCAGCCTCTCAGAGAAACGTCACTCCACAACATTGCTGATCCGTGGGTCAGTAATGGTGTGAATGGATGATTTGCACAGCTTCTCCAGATTCTGTCACATCTGTCACATGTGCTCAGTGAACTTTTTTTTTTAATCT